CAAGCATAGGATTAGTCAATGTTCTTTATGTCTGGACCAAAGGGTAAAGAATAGGTATGCTCCTATTTAGCACAATATAAATTGAACTAATTCATTTTATCCATTCACTATAATTTCTTGGCAAGGAGAAGGATGTTTTCTTATATATTGAATATCACAATTAAACGTTATTTTCTATAATTAGTTATTATCCAAATTATCTACTTATTTCAATTATTTATTAGTGACAGATAAACAACTTGAACATCGTTGTAGTTGAGGTATTATTTTTTATTAAATCTTAGTCCGTAGTATTCTATTTCTCCCTGTGGGATCGATATCTAGGACTCCATTAGAGCTCTATATTACTTGAGCGATATGTATACTTGCGTTGACAAATTCGACTTTAATATTATTAAATATTATATCTATACATCTTTATTAAATCAAACATATATATATAAAGTCGTAGTCAAGTTTTTGACATCGTTGCTGGAATTTAAATCTTCTAGTAGCGTCATCAAATTCTTGTAATTGTTGATTTACAAAAAAAGTCTGTCAATAACCTTATGAGGAAAGCTTAGTACTAAGCTTCAATTCAGCTCAACAGTTCATCCACAGACAGACAGTCAGATAGAGGTGGTGAACAAGAGTTTGGGAAACCTTCTGAGGTGCTTTGTGGGGAAGAATATTAAGCAGGGAAGCCCGAGCCGAGTTCTCTTTCAACGGGTCCATGAGTTAGACGACAAAGCGCAACCCCATTTAAGATCATGTATGACTTAGACCCACTCACTCCACTTGACTTGGTACCACTACTTCCGATATCAGATATTAAGGAGGATGTTGGGGAGAGGGTACAAGAGATTCATAATATACATGAGGAGGTGGGAAAGGGGATCACTAAGCATAACCATAAGTACCAAACACAAGCTAATAAAGCAAGAAAAAATATTTGTTTCAGGAACAAGATTTAGTGTGGAATAGGTTGAAGAAAGAGAGATTTTTGATGGGATCGTTTTGAAAACTCAAGCCCAGAGCAGACGGACTATTGAGAATCCTCAATAAGTTGAAAGACAATGCCTAGAAGATTTATTTTATGGGGGGTTACACCATATCAGCTACCTTTGAAGTGGCGGATTTGACTCCATATTACAAGGACACAGAAGACTGACAGAGGGTGTCCTTGCCCCTGTTGTCTGGCTTCTGTCGCGAAAGCCCAGGACAAGTTCGCCCCAGGCGGGGGAAGGACCGACTGATCCTTTTAAGCATGTGTTTCTCTCCTACTTGGAGCGGGGCCCACTCCTCTCTCTCTCTCTCTCTCTCTCTGAAACTCGATATATATATATATATATTCATTAAAAAAAACTCAAGAGCAAATATATTAGAAAGAAAAGGTACAGATAAGTTGGATGAGAGAGCCCAAGCTGGAACTCTAAGCACCCGATATACAACACACACTAAGGTCCCAAAAAAATACATGTATACCCATAAAAGAAAATTATAACCTAGGTAAAACTCTACTCCAAAAGTCTCCAAACCCTCAGAAATTTAGACATAAAATGGGAGCTTGAGACCAACCTAATATATCCTTATCTCTTACCTCTGGTTCTAAGTAGGAGCTAACTAACAAATAGTTGAGTCTACTGCCATGACCCGAAACAACCAAGATATCATCCATTAAGTCCCTGAGTTCTAGTAGACCGCTATTCTTCTTCTTCTTCCTGGATGTGAAAACATGTCATTTTTTCATCCGAAGACTGGCTCATCTGATCCATTGATTGGTCCAAATATTATCAGGCATGTGTAGGTTGTTGCACATCATGAGCCCCTTGTGCCTGAATGAAAGTAACAGCTTGCTCGATCTGATGAGGTGGTAGGGCCACAGTAGAAAGCTTACTTAGGGAAGAATGTTGGACTTGACGCTGGGACACACCTACGGCTGGACACTCCACCATATATATATTACTTGTTGTGTTTTAGGGCAGCTTTTGCTTTCAGATTTCTATCAGAACAATCGTCGGCATTCCTTTTCCCTTCATAAGGTTGTATTCGACGGTGAGAAAGTGCCCTGATTGTAACTCATTCTGAGGTGGTGAGTATCCTTCCCTCTCCTGCTTGTTGTCGCCCCTTCCTACATGTTGTCCAACGTCATCAGTTGCCCCTCTACTTGCTTCCCTTGTCACCGAACCTCCCCACCTATTGTTTCATTTCTGCCAAACCTTCCAATATGATGCTCTTTGACATTAAGCCCTCCTATCTCACTATCGCCTTGCCGCCAACCCTCCAACCAACTATTCCCCTCATCACTAACCACCATACTTGTTCTTTATCTCCCAATCATCCATCTGTTATCTTTTGTCGTCGGACCACCCAAACACCTTCCTTTTCCCAACCACAACCCCTTATGATAGCTTTTCGTTCGCCTCAAATCCAACCCTAATTGGGTGTTAGCATCGTATGATTGTTGTTGCAATTCCTTTTCGCTATAATCACGTAACCACATTTATTTCGAGTAAAAATATTTGTTTTCCATTGTGGCTTCAGGTATCTCCAGTGTTAGTTCCTTTTCTCACTTATCACATAACACTATATAATTCCCATAAAACAATTCCACAAAACTTCACTCTCATGCCCCTAGGCAAAAGCCAAACGAAAAGTTCATCTAGAAAGCTATTATTTTAAGATGTTACTGAACCCAACAACTAGTATATCTTATTGAAATGATAGGGCACCCAAGATGTCAATGACAAAAGAGAATGTTTTCAATATGTTAAGTGACGAGTTCAAATTTACTAATACAAAATATAGACAAGCGACTGTAAGGAAAATTATTATTACCAAAATTATTAATACAAGAATATTTACCAATCTGATGCAATTAAATTCCTATAATCACTCCCCATTTGAATCCTTGTAATGTGTTCCAAAATAAGAAAAAATATTATAAGGAAATTTACATAGGTTGCAGACAATTCTTATGTATTTACATCTCTCAAACCTAAACATTTATATTTACTTACGTAGCACTTTGTTGCTTTAAATCTATGCATAAAAAAGGTGGATTTCATTTTTAAAAAGTGATAATAGTGCTATTTTTAATGTTATATTAAAAATTTAAGTGCTATGTGTGTAAATACGAAAGTTTAGGTGTGAGATATGTAAAGATATAATAATTGTGTGCTATGTATGTAAATGCGTCATTATTATAATGTCTAACCTTAGTTAAGAGAGAAATCAGGACCAAGTCCAAAGATGCTGAAGGAATTAAAAAAGCAAAGACAACTGAAGAAGATAAAGAGTGTTTCAAAGCATTAAAGGTTAAGGAGGCCTAAGAACCCTTATTGTAAAAAGTTTAGAAATTCAGCTATTTAACATACTAGCTCTATGTTGGCATCCTCACACTTGGCCCCACCCTCTGAAAGACCTTCAGCATCAGGACCATTACCAGCTAAGTTCTTATCAGTGATTGAAACATCTCCGTCAATGCTCCTGCAATAAGATATTCTACTGTTGAATGAATGATGATTGATGAGTTTAAAAATTCTTAACTTTGTGAGTAAACACAAATTAAACATGTATAGTTTAGATTATAGAGCTCCATATGCGAGTAATATTTGGCAGTTCAGCGAATCTCATGAACAAATATGATTAGCAGAAAAAACAAGGGAAAACACAACAAAACGTACATGCAAATAGAAAACTTATTAGGGAATTCACAAAACATAAAAGATAAATAGAACAATCAGGTATATCCTTTTAAATAGAATTCTAATGCTTTTTAAAATTCTGATAATTTTTAAAATGATAACTTCTTGGAATAATGAACAAATTTAATGGTTTCCTATGCAGTAACTCATGGGGTTGATGCAGCTTTTTTGCAATGTACTCTTACAAATCAACTAGGAAAATCCTTCTTGCGTTTGGCTCTCAAAGCATGAATCTCATTACAAATCGAACATCATGACTATCAAATAATCCTCCTTAACTGGATGAAGCAATGCTCAGAGAAATAGAAGGTTTGCTCCTTCACAGGCTCACATTATTATAAAAAAATTGAATCACTATGAGCCTTTGTAGAAGTGAGGTTGAAGAGAACAAATCACAGATAATGGCAACGGACACAGACATAACAATTCTTAAATTTGACGTGAAGAAAGACAACAATAAATACGTGACATAACTAAAACAAGTGCCATGAACTTTAAATATAATAAATTAATAGGAAAGAAAGTAAATTTTACTGTCGCCAAGAACAAAGCTTAGGAGTGTATTTTAACAATACACAAAAGAAAATTAGTTAGATTAAAAAATGTAGAATGATTTTCTTTGGTCGTAACACCATCTCTTTGGCAAACATTTTGTAATATTTAGTGATATCTATCCATATCAACTATGTGGACTCAGTTGTCTGTTCCTGTAGAAAGGCTTATATCAATATAACTTTAGAGAGATTTAGGTTGTTGTCTTCTTTTTTCATCCACCACATTTGGAATGAAAGAATGTTAGATGCTTTTCAGGAAAAAATAAAGAGATCTTCTGGTTTGACATCAATCATCATGCATTCAATAATGCTAAAGGAAATAAGTAGATTTCTATCAGCAATTTCATAGAGAAGGGCCACTTTCCTGCAACGCAGGAGATTTTCTCTGTCTGCTTGACTATATCTCATTTATCTGTTTTGCTTTTGATGTTTCTCTTATAGTTTTGCAATTAACTCCATAATTTCCCATTCTTATTAATGAAAAGGGCTCATTCAACTTCACATTAAAAAAGGATACAAACAGAAAATGAAAGTGATAATGAAAAATTAAAGTTGTTCAAATTTAAAATGAGTTGCAGTGGCATAGGTTAAGTAAAATATTATATTTAAAACACGAGCCCGCCTTCTATAAAAAGTGTAAGGATGACATAGCAAAGCTATTTATCTAAGAAGAGAAGTCAAATGGTGCATTCAACATGATACTGGAGTTAATCCAAACCACAACACAAGACAATTTTACTACTGACTTAAAACAATGTTACAATGAAAACTCGAAATAATGAAAGACAACTCACAAAACGAAAACACAAAACAAAGGATTACAACCAATAACTCAACAAAAAAGACAACAAGCTTGATGATGAGAGAGTCTGGAGAAGGGACGCTGGATTGGCGGCTACGGTGAAGGCCGGAGAGGTGGGGGCTGCTATTGAAGAAGTAGAAGAGCAGGTTGGCGATATTAACAGCGTCAAACCGCAGCTGGAGAGAAGCAGGGATG